CCACTAAACTCATTTACAATATGCAGTGGTTCTATTTACATCCTGACCAGGGCATCCCATTTCATCAGATCTACACTTTGAAGCCTGATCTGTGGGGGGAAAGGAAAAAAAAAGGAAAAAAAGCTTCCCCTTGTGAAAGAAACTGCTGAAGCCTGCTGAACAGGAGAGCTTACCCCCCCCCCAGCCTCCTCCTCAGTGCTAAAGGACTTACCGGATTAATCCTGCTTTTCTCTCCCAGCCCTTCCTCCTCTTGGATTTTTGAGGAGAGCCAGAAGAATCTGAAGTCAGTCTGTGAAAGGAGGCAGAGTTAGTGACCATTCACCACTCATCACCTGGCAGCATCTGCCAAGAACCTTTGTTCCTCTGCGCTCACCTGGGAGATTTACAAACCCGACTGCAGAAACAGCACCCCAAACCCTGCTGCTCCCCCCCAGAACATGTACACACTAATCCAGCAGCCCTAAAGCTGTGGAGATGCTGGTGCTCAGGAGAAATATCTGCCTTCTGCAGCATGAGCTTCACGCAGTGCTGCAGCTAAGCAGCTCAGGGAACGCCAGGGAGGGCAGGGCTCAGTACCTGGCAGTCATAAACAGGGTGTCCTCTCCAGCACATCACGTCCAGGATGTAGTAGGTCTGCTTGGCCTCGTTGTAGATGCAGTCCAGGATGCTGTACACTGCACACACAAACACAGGGAGGTCCAGACCTGCCCCTAACACTGCCCAACCCAGCTGGCAAACACAGGGCTCCAGCTCTCCAACATTAATCCTGCCCTGATGTGAGACTGCAGCGTGCAGAGGGATCCCCTCCTGCTAGCACAAGCTGCAGCCACAAAAAGCCTTGAGCTTAAGGAGTCCCACGAGGCTGCAAAGGGACCAGCCAGAGGCACAACAAGCAAGGACATGCTTCAGGAAATGGCATTTTCCAGACAATAAGCCTCTCTTTTTGGGGCAAAAAAAATTAAGATGTATTAAGGAAGATGACACCATACAAAGGTGTCTGTGAGAGGACAGAGAGGATGTTGGGGTTTAAGAGTGTCAGTCTAATAGGAAGCTTAATAAAAGACATGGCAGGACACAGGGCAATGGTTTTAAACTGAAAAAGGTCAATTTTAGATTAGCTGTTAGGAAGAAATTCTTTCCTGTGAAGATGCTGAGTCCCTGGAACAGGTTGGCCAGAGCAGCTGTGGCTGCCCCATCCCTGGAAGTGTCCCAGGCCAGGTTGCACAGGGCTTGGAGCAACCTGCTTTAGAGGAAGGTTCTCTGTCCTTGGAAGGACAGTGGAACAAGATGAGCTTTAAGGTCTCTTCCAAACCAAACCATTCAGGGATTCTAAGTGCTCATGTAGCATAAAGGCACCTGATACTGCTCCCATCTAGTTATCTCCAGAGATACAGAAACTGGCCTGAAGCTGATCACCCCCAGCACAAAAAAGGGGCACAGCTGTGGGCCTTGGGGGAGATGGAGGAACAGCACTGGGCCTGTCAGCACACACAGACACCCAGGCAGTTCCCCTCTCTCTATCCCAAATACCTCCTCACACCTGTACCTTTGTCACTGGTTGAGTTGTGCCGGTTTCCCCCTGGCAGCAGGGATGGGAACCTGTTGACACAGAAGCCACTCTTGGTGTAAGCTGCCGTTGTGCCCTGTGAGGAAAAAAGAAGAGAAAAAACCCAATCAAGCCAGGTTTATGTTGGCTGTGAATGCCCTTTAGCAGCTGGTGGAAGCCCACTTACCCTGGAGGCCACGACAAGAGCCCTTTTCCCGACGGGACACACCACCACAACCCATTCCTGCTCCAGATCTGAGGGGACATCCACCAGCCACTCCGACAGCATCAGCTACAGAGAGCCCAGGGAGAAGAAGCAGTCAGTAACAACTCTCCTGGTGCTATGGACAACAAACAGCTCAAGGGTAAAGCAAGGAGGTTTTGACTTTGCTCTGACACTGGGTGTTCTCAGGGCAGCTGGCACTGCTTGTCACTCCCTAAAGGGCTCCTTCCCTCCCCTCTAATGAAGTCCAACCTGCTAACACATTCTTCCCCAAGTCTTTCTCCTGCTTCCCAGTTGCTGACTGAGCTTCAGACCACAGCACAGGGCTCACAGCCCTTCACTGGGCACCCCACACCTTGGTCCCCGCTCCAGCACTTTATTTTTAAAAACACAGCAGGGCTTAGAGATTCCAAAGTGTCAGGAGTGAAGAGCCTGGACAAACTGACCTCTTCAGAGGTTGCCTAAGTGGCTGTGTGATATCTAGGACAGATACAACACCCAGGCTGATAAAACCCAGCTGAGTTTGCCCTTCTTGCCTTTCCAAACACAGGAAAACAGAAATCTTTAGCTGAATACTGCCTAACAGGGTACTCATGCTGCTGGCTGAGCTGACATCTAAAGCGGGAAACACAGTGATGCAGAATTAATGTCTGGAATCAGTGACCTTCGAGGTCTTTTCCAACTTAAGTGATTCTAAAGCAGTTCCCATCTCCACGTGCTTTCCATTTGAACTCAGCACGTTTTGGAGGTGAACTAACCACAGTTCCTCTGCGAGCACCAAGCCGGGCAGAACACACTCCTCTCAGCCCCCAAATGGCCATCACCGTGGCCTCAAACCACCCCACATCCCTGCCCCACAGCCACGCCTCGCCACGGGGGCACAGCCAGCTCCTCACCTGATTGGCGTAGTGCTTGGGCAGCTTTTTGCCAGCATCCACGTCCATCGCCTCTTCCTCCGCATCTTCCCCTTCTCCGTCTTCATCCTCCTCGCTCTCCACCCCTGCCCAGTCATCCTCCGCCAGCCTCCTGGCATGGTTCACGTAGTCCAGCCGCCTCCTGGGGTCAGGGAAAGGGGGAAAGAACCCGGCGGGGAGGCAGGTCACCGGGGGGCACCAACACCAACACCCCGGTGGGGAGGCAGGTCACCGGGGGGGTACCAGCACCAACACCCCGGCGGTGAGGCAGATCACCCGGGGACACCAACACCAACACCCCGGCAGGGAGGCAGGTCACCGGGGGGGCACCAGTACCAACACCCCAACAACCCGGCAGGGAGGCAGGTCACCGGGGGGCACCAACACCAACACCAACACCCCGGCGGGGAGGCAGGTCACCGGGGGCACCAGTACCAACACCCCGGCGGGGAGGCAGATCACCGGGGGGGTACCAGCACCAACACCCCAACACCCCGGCGGGGAGGCAGATCACCGGGGGGGCACCAGCACCAACACCCCAGCAGGGAGGCAGATCACCGGGGGGGTACCAGCACCAACACCCCAACACCCCGGCGGGGAGGCAGATCACCGGGGGGGCACCAGCACCAACACCCCAGCAGGGAGGCAGATCACCGGGGGGTACCAGCACCAACACCCCGGCGGGGAGGCAGATCACCGGGGGGGCACCAACACCAACACCCCGGCGGGGAGGCAGTCACCGAGGGGCACCAACACCAACACCCCGGCGGGGAGGGAGGCAGGTCACCGGGGGGCACCGGTACCAACACCCCGGCAGGGAGGCAGGTCACCGGGGGGCACCAGTACCAACAACCCGGCGGGGAGGGAGGTCACCGGGGGGCACCACCACAGGCAGCCCCACGCTGCCACCGCGCCGGGCCCTGCCCTCCCACCCTCCCGCCCACCGCCGCCGCCGCCGCGCTCACTCTCTCTGGATGCGGAGGAGGCGCTGCCGGCGCTCGGCCTGCCCGGGCCCGCCGCGGGGCTTGTATGCGGCCAGCCGGGGGTGCGGCGCGGCCGGGCTGCAGGGCCCCGCCAGCCCCACGCCCGCCGCCAGCGCCGCGCTCAGCTCCTCCATGGCAACCCGCGGCCCGCCGCCTTCCGCCCGCGGCGCCTGCAGCGCCCCCGCCTGGCGCGGAGGCCCCGCGCCGCCCCGGCCCGCTCCGCCCGTGCCTCAGTTTCCCCAGCGCCCGAGCACCGGGACGGGGCGCTGCGGGCTGGCACCGGGCACGGGCGAGGGGCACGTCTCGGCAGGGACGCGGGGGCTGCGGCTGCTCCCGCGGGCGGGGATCCGTGCCCCCCGGGCCGGCTGCCTGCAGAGGGCGGCGTGCGGCTGGCCGGGCCGGGCCGGGCCGGGCCGCTCCCCGCCGCGAACCGGGCGGCGGAGCGGGGAGCGCTGCCCTACGTCACGGGAGGCTGCGGCCGGCTCCGCCGCCCCTCCGGCAGCGGGAGCGGCACCGGCAGCGGAGCGGCCCCGGCGCTGCCCTGTCACAGCCGGTGCCAACAGCACCGACACCGACACCGACACCGACACCGACACCGACACCGGCACCGACACGGACACCGACACGGACACCGACACGGGCACCACCGCCGGCGCCGCCTCCGTCCTGCGTGAGACTCACGAATTTCAGGGGAAAACCAGACCCCACCAACCATCGGGAAAGTCGGCCCGGGAAGGAATTGCAAAATCCTGGGATCACCGGGAAGTTGGGCAGGGTTTGGGGTCGTCCCCGGCGTTCTCCCAGCCGCCCACCGAGGGGAAATTTAAGGTGTTTTACCCACAGGAGCCCCGAGAAAAATCGCTTTGGATTTATTTCCTCGTTGGCAGCCAGGGGTTTTCCTCCCGGAGAGTGAAACCTCGGGATCAGCCTCCCGGAGAGACAAACCCTGCGCGGACATGGCAGAGCCCGGCTCTCGGGCCGGCCGGGATTCACATCCCGGAGGAGCCGGGGGAACGCCGCTCGCCTGACTGGGAATCTTGTTTTTATCCAGGGAATGTCGTTTTTAAACGGGGAATGTTCTTTTTAACCGGGGCGCCGGGATCGGGGGGGGTCACTTGGACATAGGGACGTTGGCGTCACCTCGTAAGGGATTTCTTCTCCGCCTTTTTTTTTTTTTGTTTTATTATTATTTTGCTGGGAAAGCGGCCAAGCCGTTTCCCACAGCGCGTGGTGGTGATCCCGGGGCCGCGCGAGCCCGCGGTATTGCCGGGACCGGGGGGGTGTTTTGGCCGGGGGGGTTGCGTTCCGCTGGCTCCCCCCTCTTCCCGACCCGGGACCGGCCATGGCGTTGAAAGCCAGAGCGCTTTACAACTTCCAGAGCGAAAACAAAGAGGAGATCAGCATCCAGGAGAACGAAGAGCTCGTCATCTTCAGCGAGAACTCCCTGGACGGGTGGTTGCAGGGCCAAAACAGCCGCGGGGAGACCGGCCTCTTCCCCGCTTCCTATGTCGAGATCCTCCGCTCCCGCTCGGGCTCCAACTACACGGACTACTCCGGCAGCCCGGTCGGCTCCCCCGGGCACGATTCCTCCTTGTACTCGGCATCCCCCAACCCCGGCATCTCCTACCAGGGCAGTTTTGAGGATGACGATGATGACGATTGGGATGACTGGGACGACGCGTGCACGGTGGTGGAGGAGCCCCGGAGCGCGCCGGGCACCAACGGGCACCCCTCGCCCAGCGCGCCGTACCCCGCGGCCTACGGCCACCACCAGCACGCCGGCTACCGGCCCAAGCCGGCGCTGGAGAGGCAGGACAGCATGAGCTCCTCCAAGAGAGGCAGCGTGGTGGGCAGAAACCTCAACCGCTTCTCCTGCTTCGTCCGCTCCGGGGTGGAAGCCTTCATCCTGGGCGACGTGCCCCTGATGTCCAAGATCGCCGAGACCTACTGCATCGAGATGGGCTCCAGAGGCCCGCAGTGGAGGGCCAACCCCCACCCGTTCATCTGCTCCGTGGAGGACCCCACCAAGCAAACCAAGTTCAAGGGCATCAAGAGCTACATCTCCTACAAGCTGACCCCCAGCAACTTCAACTCGCCCGTGTACCGGCGCTACAAGCACTTCGACTGGCTCTACAACCGCCTGCTGCACAAGTTCACGGTGATCTCGGTGCCGCACCTGCCCGAGAAGCAGGCCACCGGCCGCTTCGAGGAGGACTTCATCGAGAAGCGCAAGCGGCGGCTGATCCTCTGGATGGAGCACATGACCAGCCACCCCGTCCTCTCCCAGTACGAGGGCTTCCAGCACTTCCTCTGCTGCCGCGACGAGAAGCAGTGGAAGCTGGGCAAACGCCGGGCGGAGAAGGACGAGATGGTGGGAGCCAGCTTCCTCCTCACCATCCAGATTCCCACGGAGCACCAGGACCTGCAGGACGTGGAGGACCGCGTGGATGCCTTCAAGGCCTTCAGCAAGAAGATGGATGACAGCGTCCTGCAGCTGACCAACGTGGCGTCGGAGCTGGTGCGCAAGCACGTGGGGGGCTTCCGGAAGGAGTTCCAGAAGCTGGGCAATGCCTTCCAAGCCATCAGCCACTCCTTCCACATGGACCCTCCCTACAGCTTGGATGCCCTCAACAACGCCATCTCCCACACGGGCAAGACGTACGAGACTGTGGGGGAGATGTTCGCCGAGCAGCCCAAGAACGACCTGTTCCTCATGCTGGACACTCTCTCCTTGTACCAAGGGCTCCTCTCCAACTTCCCAGACATCATCCACCTGCAGAAAGGTAAGGAGGCATTCTTCTCCCCAGGAATGGCCCCATGTGAGTGGGAATGGTGCCACAGGTGGGATGGGGATGCAATGAGGAAATCTTCACTTGGGATTTGAAGGGAATGGGGATGAGAATGGGAATGGTGAGGGGAACCACTGCCTGTGCCTCTTAGGGGCGCAGTGTGGTCCCCGCTGGCATAGCCCTCCAGTCAGCCCACGCTGGGAGTCTGCTAGGGCTGTTGGGTCCAGAATCTGCCCCAGTGATGCCGTGGACTCTGTAAGTGCTGCTGGTGCTACCCAAGGCACTGCCAGGGGTGGTCAGCATGGATGTCACTTCCCCCAGACCATAAGCAGGAGCCAGCACTGCTGCTGTTAGGTCTGGATGACCTGCCCTGCACCTCTTGTTCATCCCCACCCACTGCCACTTGTCCCTCCTCACCCTCCCTTCCTGCCAAGGCAGTGGATGGGTGGCCAGCAGGAATACCAGAGTTTGCTCCCCCAGGGCTGGGACATGGCTGGACGTGGCCTTGGGTCGGTCAGAGGGACCGAGGGGGCTGTGCAGGGCAGTGGGACAGGGGACACACTAAACCGCTGGAGACAACCAGGGTCACACTTTTCAAGACTATGTTCCCTGCACCTCCAAGCCCAGCAGGAAGGTGTTAGCACCCCCGGGGCATCAGAGCTCCCCATGTCCCATTCGTCCTGGTTCCCTGGATTTGGTGGGATCAGAGGCGGGGAGAAGTGTCTGCTGTTCTCTCCCTGGGGCAGGCAGCAGGCAGGCAGGGCTCGGTGTCCCTTTGCACCCAGGCAGCCACGGTGTGGGTGTGGGGCCGAAGTCCACACGCACTCCTCGCCCAGCTGCCTGCAGCAGGGAGGGGACACCCACCAGCGTCCCCAGAGTTTGGAGGACAGGTTTTCCCCAGGGGGAAGCCGGGGCCGTTTGTGTGCAAGCGTGCAGGGATGTCTGTGCATCACCCTGCATCCCTGGGGGAGGCTGGGAAGGCAGAGGGCGCAGGGAGGATTCAGTCCTGCCCGGGCAGCTTCCCTGCCTTTCCTCGGAGTGTTGTTTACCCATGGAGAGGGGCTGGATCCCGTCCGGAAGCGAGGCCGCGTGGGCAGAGCGGAAGGCAGGATTTGGCCTCCAAACTTTGCTTCTTCCTTCTCCTCCTCCTCCTCCCCTCTGGGAGCAGGGCTGGCGCGGCGGGAGCACTGTAACCCCGGGTCTGGTGCTCCCGGCGAGGGGCAGGAGAAGGGAGGAAAGCTCAGTGCGGGCCAGATCCTGTTTTTAGTTTTTTAGCCTCTGTGCTAATGAGGGGGAGGAATGCAGGGCTGGAGCCAGGCAGGATTCTTTCGAAACCGAGCTGTAAAAAAACATGGAAGGAGAGGGAAAAACTGGTGTCAGAGCATCAGCTGCCTCTGGGAGTGGGAGATGCTTTCCCAGCTGAGCTCCAGACAGCAGCACATGCCCTTGCCACATCCTGGTTCACTGCTTCCTGGGCTGGGGTCCCCCAGGGCTGCTCCTGACCCCTGTTCATGGAATGGCATGGAATGTTTGGAGGGCAGGCTTGGCTGGGGTGCTTGACTGTGCTAACACTGCCCCACATCGACTTTGCACCCCAAGCCTTGAGTCACAGCGCTCCAGGAGCCCAGACCCCCAAAACCAGCTATACATGAGGCTGACTGCCCAGGATGGAAAAAGAGCTGGGGATGCCAGAGTCCAGAGGGAAAATGCTCCTGCTCTTTGCCTGCCTGGAGCAGAGGGATGGGTTTGATGGGCAGCGGGAGGTGCAGCCACATCCCTCCCTTCCATGGGGCAGGTCTGTGCCGCTGCTTTGGGGCCATGGGACCGGGGGGGCTGCCCAGGGAAGGGGGCCCGAGGGTCTCACGCTCCCCTGACGCTGCTCCCTGCCCGCCAGGCGCCTTCGCCAAGGTGAAGGAGAGCCAGCGGATGAGCGACGAGGGCAGGATGGACCAGGAGGAGGCGGACGGGATCCGCAAGCGCTGCCGCGTGGTGGGCTTCGCCCTGCAGGCCGAGATGAACCACTTCCACGAGCGGCGCGTGGCCGACTTCAAGAGGATGATGCAGTCCTACCTGAGGCAGCAGATCGTCTTCTACCAGCGCGTCAGCCAGCAGCTGGAGAAGACGCTGCGCATGTACGACAACCTCTAACCCCGGTCCCGCTCTGCCGCAGCCCCCGGGGCTCCTCAGGATGGGATGGACGGGAACTCATCACGCTAGTGACCAAATGACTTCGGGCTTTCTTCCCCCTTCCCTGGGGGCTGGCAGGGGAGGGCTCGCCCGCGGGCTGGCCGTGCCACCTCTTCTTTCTTTCCCTGGGCACCTCCCACCCTGCCACGGGTCTGGCAGGAGCGTGGGGGGTGGCAAGAAGGACAGGGAGGTAACTCTGCCCAGTGATTTTTAGCTTTCTGAAAACCCACTCTCCTGGAGCAGGGGTGGGTGCATCCCAGCCCGCTGGGAGAAGACATCCAAGCGGTCGGCATTTTGCACACTAAAAGCTTTTCTGATGGAAAAAAATAAGAGAAGAAAAGAGATCTTTATTTGGAAGAGATTTTTTTTTGTTTGTTTGTCACAAGATATTTTCAATATTTTCCATTTTTCTGCAGCATTTTTACTGATCAGTTTTTAAATAGATGCACAGAGGCAAAGAGAAATCTCTTTCTCAAGTATGGCTGCTGACTGGGAAAAGGGGAAAAAAAAAGGAAAAAAGGGAAAAAAAAATAGCCCCACAGCCTTTTCAATAAAATCATTGGTAGAAAAAACACCCATCTCCTTCCCAGAAATGTCTGTGGAAAACAGGGCTGTTTCAGGATCCTGGGGAAGGCTCTGCCTGAGCATCCCCTGGCTTCCAGCCAGCTTTGAACATCCCTGTGCTGTGGGGGGAATGACCCCAGGAGGGGCTCCCACGGCAACCACCTCCTGCTCTCTAAACAGCCCCCCAAGGGGCAAATCCTGCCCCGCTCTGCCCTGGCTGGGACAGTGTGCTGCTGCCTGGGAGACAGCAGGGCTGGCACGAGGGCCTTGTTTTTGAAGGGAAATGGCTGGGATAAATCACAGCGAGGAAAGTTAGGGCTGTCTTGGCCTGGCTCCAAGGATAAAATTAGCCCGGCATGCAGGCCAGCGGGGTATTGTTAAACTAACAGCCACGCTGGGAATGCTGCGGGCTGCTCCATCCTCCCGGAGCCTCCCCTGCCCCAGGCTGCAGGGACACTGAGGTACAGCCTCCATCCAGGCAGGATGTGCTTCCTCCTGCATCCCACAGCCAGGCCAGGCCCCTTCACCGTGGCCCCATCCCACCCTGGGTCCATCCCACACCAGTCCCATCCTAGCACAGCCTCATCCCTCCCTCACCATATCCTGCCTTGGCTCCATCCTGCCCGTTCCCAGCACGCTCTGGTACCACCCCACCCCAATCCCATCTCACCCCAACTCCATGCCATCCCAGCCCTGTTCTAGCCTGGCCACATCCTAGCCTGGCCCTGTTCCACTCTAGTCCCATCCTAACCAGGCTGCATCCTTACATGGCACCATCCCACTCCATTTCCATCCCAGTCCCATCCCGCTCTGGCCTCAGCTTATCCCAACCTCATCCTGCTGAAATTCCATCCTACCCTGGCCATGTTCTGCCTTGGCCCTGTCCCACCCTGGTCCCATCCTGCCCCAGCCCCATCCCACCCCAGCCTCATCCTAACCCGACCATATCCTTCCTTGCCACCATCTCACCCCACTCCCCCTCATGCCTCTGGCCCCATCCCAGCTCAGCAGCCGTGGGAATGCTGTCTAAGCCTGTGCTAATCCTGCAGGAGTGGCAGTCCCCAGCCCTGCTGGCCCTGCTCTGGATGACCATGGTGGCCTTGGCCCACGCTGAAGCCAGAACGTGTCCCTTCCCCCAGCCCCGCTCCCTCGGGAGCACAATGGGCACTGGGACTGAGCCTGCCACCGCCATCCCCGGGCAGGCAGCCAGCCCCTGGCACTGCAGCCAGAGCTCCAGAGCTGAGCCAACATCCCAGCCCCCCTGACCTGCCTGGACAAGGGCATCCCCTGCCTGGGGTGCCCCGTGGACGCTCGGTCCCTGGGATGGCCTGAAGATGGGGTGTGCAGCTGGAGCACGGAGATGTCCCAGTGCCCCAGGAGTTCATCCTCTGCTCTGGTGTCCTGGCATGGGGACAGGGATGGGCTAAAGTCCCTGTGGGCTGCATGCATGCCTTTAGAAGGCTGGGCCTCAGTTTCCCCAGAGGCGGTCCTGTGCTCTCTGTGGTCCTTCAGCATCCACAAAGGTCTCCCTGCTCCACCACCCACCCCCTGTGTACCCTCATGTCTGGACCACACGCCCAGGACACAGCAAATCCATTGGCTAGAACCTGTATTCCATGAGCATTCCTGCCTTTTCCCTCTGCCACCTGGCAGTAGGCAGCTGGGCCTTCACTGCCCATGGGTGGGCATTTCAGAGCCTGCCTTGGCCAGATGGGGGGGTTGAGCATCTGCTGCTGCCCCCCACACCTCTGACAGCATCCTGCAAACGTGCCAAGGGCTGGGGACAGAACCTGCCCCGAGCAGTTGGGTGGCTGTCCCAGGGTGCAGGGTGATGGTGAGGGGCAGTCTGAGGGTGCACACAGTGCTTCACATGCCCCAGCAGTGTCTGTCACTGCCTTTGTTATCTGTGACACAGGCTGTTCCTGCTCCCACAAGAGAAAAAAATCCAGGGCATGGAGGGCTGAGAGGAAGCACCGGGAACATGGAGCAGATCCGTTTCCTCCTCCCACTTCCCAAGGCTGCTCCTGCGTGGGAAAGCCAAGGCTGAGGCCCTGTGTGAGTCCCATCAGAACTGACAGCAGGGCTGGGAGGTGGCAGCAGCGGTGGTGGCTGGAGCATCCTCCTGGAGAGCACTGCAGCCACAGCAGAGAGCCCGTGGCTGCCTCCGCTCCTGCGTGTGGCTTCCCGGAGCTCTTGTCTTGCTTCTTCTCTGTGGCCCTCCTTCCACCACGGGCAGAAAACCTGGCATCCTTGTTCTGAGCTCTGGGAGACCAGGGTTTGTGCCTGGGCCAGGCTGTCGGGCTCTAGGGACCACCTGTGCCTGTATCCTGAGCCCAGCAAGATGCTCCAGGCTGGGCAGGGTCAGCTGGGGTCCCACAGGGACTGCCCAAACAGCCGGAGGGTGAAGGATGGGGATGCTGGGGCAAGCAGAGCTGCTGCCCAGAGCCTTGTCAGCCCCACGGATACACCCACCAGTGCTCAGTAATCGGGGATCAGCCACCAAAGGAGCGCAGTGACCCAGCCCAGCTCCTCCCATGCGAGGGGGAGCGCAGGGTGCAGCTGCTGGCCGGGCAGGACGGGGCTTGCTGGGCACGCCACGCTGCCGGCACACGCTGGCACCGGGCGTGGGGAGGCACAGCTGCCACGGGGAGCAGTCCTGGGGCAGCGGGGAGACGTCCTGCCTGCCCTTTAGGGTCAGCAGCAACTCGGGGGAAGGAGCCAAGTGGAGTTTCACTGCCACCCCCACCGTGTTGGGAGGTGGATGAGTGTGCACCCGCCTAGAGGAGTGATTCCGGGCGGATGCAGGTGGGTGGACACAGGCATGGATCAGGGCAGAGGGAGGCAGCTCAGCCTGCCAGCTCCAATCCTTTAATTGCTGTGCTTCTCAAATATTTCCGAAGCATCACCCTGAGTTAGCTCCTCCAGGCAAAAATCCGAGCACCAGCTGGTTCCCTTGAGCACCCCTGTATTCCCTTGGCTGTGGATAGAAATAAAGCTCCCTCCTGCTCCCAGCCCAGGGGAGTGATGTGGTGTCTGTTTTAGGGAATAAGCTGGAAATCAGCTCTAATGGGGGTCTGTCAGCCCTCAGGTACCCCTCCGAGGCAGGGCCAAGGTGATGCTCAGGTCAGGCCCTGTCCCAGCTCTCTGTGCCAGCCCAGACTCCCTCTCCGGTCCCTGGAAGCTGCTGAGCGTGGGGAGGTCAGTCCTGCACTGCCAGGGAGCTGTCTCTGGGTGTGTTGTTTGTGCAGGAGGGGTGGGGAGCCCAGGCCCTGGGATGTGGTTATCCCTCCGTCATTGTCTGTCTGCCTTGGAGTTGCTGGGTGTGGAAACAGAGCTCAGGCTCAGTTTGTCTGAAATTTCAATCGCAGCTGGGCTGGGAGCCGTGGCAGGCACGGGGATGCTTTCTGGTGTCCGGGTCCTCAGCACTCCACACTTTCCCCAGGAGCTGGGAATCTCCTCTGGCCCTGCAGCGTGAATCCGTGAGCTTTATCTCACCTGGGCAGGTGGAGGGACAGATGCCAGGCTCCCGGGGCCAGCCTGTCCCTCTGCGGGTTTGTTTGGGGCGCTCCCAGGGTGACGCTCCAGCTCTTCCCCCGGGCTCCATCCCGTCCTGCCAGGCTTGCTGCCAGCTGAGCCTGTTCTGCAGGCTGTGGGCATGACTGGCACGAATCAGACAGGCACGGAGCAGGGAGGGAGGGCTCCCGGCATCCCGGGCCACCGGGCTTGGCTTGGAGCCCAGTGAGGTACTGAGCCTGTCACAGCAGGCAGCTGTCAGCCCCGGCTCTGGCTCTGAGCTTTCCACATAGGACAGCTCCCGGGAGGACCTGACCCCCCCTTCACCTGCCTCGGTGTCCTCCTGCCCTCCCAGGAGACTTCTCCTCATCACTGCCATCAGGCAGGTGGGCTGTGTCCCCTGAGGGGGCCCTGGGATGCTGCTCCTGGCTCCCGGTGAAGTCCAGAGCATCTCCTGGGGCTGGTGAGAGCTGCCAGGGAGGTTTTGGGATCGGGACAGAGCGGCTGGAGCCCCGGGACCATGCATCCCCAAAACAGAGTGGGGGGCCTGAGCTCAGGGGGGTCCTGTGCTCACTCCCAGAAGTGTGGACAATGTTGTTCCAAGGTCCTGCAGCAGTTGTGGTCCAGAACAGTGGGAATTTTGGAAGCATGTGATGCTTAGGTGGGTCCCAGTCTCCTGAAGCCAGGCTGGGAATGAAGTCCCACCTTTGTTGAACCTCTGCATTTGCATGGCTAAAGTTCCCCGGAGGGGTTCCAAAGCCAAAGGATCCAAGCTGCCCCGAGTGGATTCTTCGTTTGCATTTGAATAGGTGCCTGGAAACTGGTTCAGTCGCCTGAGCTGTGACAGCCTCCCCTCCTGCTCTGTGTCCATCCCTACCTGTGAGCCCCAGTGCCTCCAGCTCCTGCTGAAACCTGAGACCAGCTGCTGGTGTTACCCAGGAGAGGTGTTGGATCCAGCCTGTCACAGGTGGGATGGCCCTGGGGTTATGGTTCCCTTCCTTCTTCCCAAAATGCTCTCCGAGGACTCTGGGGACAGGCTGGGATAACTGGGGGTGTTCACCTGGAGAGAAGAAAGCTCTGGGGAGATCATGGAGCCCTTCCAAAGGCTAAAACGGGGCTCCAAGAGACCTGGAGAGAAACTTTGGACAAGGGCCTGGAGTGATAAGGCAGGTGGTGAATGGCTTCCCACTGTCAGAGGGCAGGGATAGATGGAATATTGGGAAGAAATTGTTCCCTGGGAGGGTGCTGAGGCCCTGGCACAGGTTGCCCAGAGAAGCTGTGGCTGCCCCATCCCTGGAAGTGTTCAGGCCAGGTTAAATGAGGCTTGGACCAACCTGGGATAGTGGAAGGTGTCCCTGCCCATGGAAGGAGGGTGGAACAAGATGACCTTTAAGGCCCTTTCCAACCCAAACCATGCCATGATCTTCTTGAACCGTTGCTAGTTTTATAGCCAGCTTGGCAGGGAAGGTGCCAGAGAAGGGCCTGGCCAGGAAACTT